GCATTACTCTATATTGATAACCAATACTCGTTACACTAAAAGCAATACTCGTGACACCGGCGGGCAACTCCAACGCAATACTCGGTACACTGACATGTGTATTTATTCTCAAAATGCACTGTCATCTGAAGGTCTATTGTTGATTGAACATTTACAACATAAACATTATCATCATTATCACATTTCATTCGATTCAAGTTTTTCTGTTAAGAAAGTATATGCACAAAAACATCAAATTTGGCTTATCCGAGCTCATTTATCACGTGAGCAAAGAGACGAATTTTACCTCATAATTACATTTCAAAGCTATTTCTCAGCATTTTTGGGGTTTCAGTAACTAGAGAAATTATTGAAGTATTTATTTTTCTATAAAATTTATATCAAACCAATTCAAAATGACTTAATATCGCCACTGAACTTACCTTCTTTCCTCGTTCAAAGTCGCGAAATGGGATGAAAGTCCTCATAATATCGAGCAATATCCGGGGTACGGTATACCGCAGTGATACAAGTAGTCTTAATAGATAAGTATGTTGGTAATTATACTCAGGTGCAAATTTATTTCGCTCTGAACTGCAAATATGTGTATCGTCCGGAGAGACGGGTCTCTGGCAAGTATATTTTGTCTGACAGTGTTATTTTTTATATTTAACTGAATTTTGTTGCTTTAATTTTACAACAACTTACTTTAATAGTGTAAAATGTTTATTATTATCTGCTCGAAATATTATTTTTTGAATTAAAAAATGCCTGTATGGCAGTGTATTATTACACTGCCATATCGAACTGCATTTATGTTTTGTTTAATTGGATATTCCGATGTAGCTTGAGATTCGTCAGACCTATATGAAAAATGTAAAATCTAACAAATCTGACGCGGGGGTCGTGAAAAATGTCACACGTGAGAAACGTAAGACTATTTTATTGGAGAGCGTTTTCTGTTCCACTTAAATTAGATACTGTTAATTGAACACATATATAGACTCATTATAATAGCATTATTACAATAGAAAAGTGCCGCGTCTTTTGTTAATGGACAATCCTTCAAAAATACCAGCCTATGTTTTCATGGAATTCTAAATATACGTGTCAAAAGAACTCAAACGCATATTTATAACTATTATGGTTAGTTGTTAAATATAGTTATGGTGTTTACGAATAGTCATTCACACGTAGATTGAAAATAATGGCTAATTTTTTTTGTTAAGTAAGAAGTTGTATAAATTTACAAGAAATAATGTGGCATCAACGTAAAATTTTAATATTCAATACTATTTTCCTAAATTATTAGAAACTCATTGAAAATAATAAAATATTTTTTAATACAATTGTTTCATTACGTCTCCTGCAATACATGTAAATATGGAAAAAACTTCGGTTTTTACAATTAATTGTCGAATCCTAATTTGGTTTCTTCGGAAAACTATGGAAGCTTGAATTGACCCCCGAGATGCCGTGTTCGAGATAATACGCATGTGTGCATGTCGACTTATTTTAAGGCGATACGATGTGTTGCATCGTCGCATTATCGTAATAAATAAAGCGTCTTGCCATTGAAACTTTCTACGTCTTGCTAACATCTGTTCATCATATTATTGTATAGTTTATTCACTTAAATAAGTTTAAATGTCGTGGTATATCAGGACAAGTTGACATGCAACAACACGAAAATAACCATATTATGTTCACATCACGGTGCGAACTTAAAGCTTCCGTACATTATGGCAAGAAAAATGTCCACATGCCTTTATAGACAGGCGAGCAGCAACCAAGTATTAACACGTAAATAACATCTTGTTATAATATTGTTTGACGAAATTCATATTGAGAGCTTGCACTGACCCTATTTAACTGCAGGTAGAATTGTAAAAAGAAAGGAATTTGCGTGTCGCATTGACTTGACCGCAAATATGTTTTGATTTGTTATTCATGGAATATGATATGATTATAAATATAAAAAAATGGGAAAGGAAAATCTGGCTTTTTGACAAAGTATTCATGGAATACCAAGTCTACGTTTCCTTTAGACTTAATTGCGTAGTTTAATTATCAGTTCTGTATTTGCGTATCATATGAGTGGCTTCTACCAACGGTCATTCACGTTTGCTAAGTTTTACGTAAATTTCGTAAAGTTTTTGTGAAGATAACTTATTAAGATTATGGTAAATTTTCAATATACTTTTTTCAAAATTATCAGTAGTTGAAGTAAAATATTTTCTTTCTACAATAAATAAAAAACTTCGGTTTTTTAAATTTACTCTTTTTTCCCATCTTTATTTGAATTCTTCAGTTAAATGTCTTTTATAATGATTTATTGAAATTTTCTCACTGTTCATATATATCATTTCATTTAATATTATTTAACTATAAGCCACATTCTTTGTTTTATTCTTAATGAAAATTGTATCCGTATTTTACTTGTGAAGTTATACAATATGTCGTATTATTTTTATTTGTTTGTAAGCTTTTGTATATTTACAACATTCGGGGTCTTATTTAAAGCATTATTACAAGAAATAGGCCCACATGCCTTTGTAGACATTTTCAGGCAATTATCGCATAATGGCAAGCAACGAACAAGTAAAATTCTCTAAATACAAAAACGTAAATTATGCATCAGTCTACTGTGTAGGTTGTATTTGTTGAATTTTGAACAAAACAGTTCTGTTAGGTTCTGTTCTTTGTTCATATTATTATATAAATTAAGACGGTTTATCACAGTTTCACAGTTTATTTCAATTCATTAATTCATATATAAATACATCGTCAAAATAATTATTTGCATATTGACATGTGACATTTTTTTAAAACGTTTAAAAAAAAAACACATGCACGTACATGCATAAGTTGAGAGATAGGTTTCATCAATGTTGGCATGTTCTTTACAAAATAAACCAAAAAGTAAACACACAAACATCCCAACAGAGCGTAATTAAGGCGATTTATCACAGTTTCACAGTTTATTTCAATTCATTAATATATATATACAAATACATCGTCAAAATAATTATTTGCATATTGACATGTGACATTTTTTAAAACGTTTAAAAAAGAACACATGCACGCACATGTATAAGTTGAGAGATAGGTTTCATCAATGTTGGCATGTTCTTTACAAAATAAACCAAAAAGTAAACACACAAACATCCCAACAGAGCGTTGATATATTTTGTACAACGTGTTACCCATTCTTTTTATAATCCTGACTGTTTTCTTTTAATTATGCCAATGACATGTTGAAGCTAAGCAAAAGTATTTTTGTCGGTGACCTTCGCGACAGAAATATGAATTTTTAACGCGTCATACAGTTTATTATGTGTCAATAAATTGTTGCTACCTTTTCAAAGAAGAACTGGTTATTATATGCTTTGTAGATAAGTTACCTAGCTGTTTTTACTTGAGGTGTCTGTCTCTCAATCCAGGGGTTTTCAGCCCGTATTAATTCCGAGACTATTATGAATTATTGTCACTATGTTCTTACAAGTTTTTTTGATACTTGATCTCACATAAAAACGGTTAAGCAGATAGAAAGTGTTTGCTAGATAGATTCTAGCTGACGAAGCTCATTAATATAGACATTTTGAAATATCTATATAGACTATAGTGCTATCACAATAGCAACGAGACACGAAAAGGACAATGTGAATATAATTGCGGTTCAGCAATTTTGGTTATTTTTAGATTTAAAATCACATATTATTGTATTTATAAATAATTACGGCTAAGTGTTTTCTGTGAAAAGCGTGTTTACAATTGTACTCTTAAGAAGTCATGGGATTCCAAACATGATTATGTGTCTCTTTAATTGAACGCTTATTTATAACTATTACGGGTATTTACTAAAAATAGTAATGGCTTCTACGAACGGTCATTTACGACGTAGATTGAAAAATAATTCATAAAATGTATAAATAAATCGTAAAGTTGGAATTTGATGAGATCTACAAGAAGTAATTTGATTTGGTAAAATTTTAACATTTTTTAATGTTTTTATAAATTATTAGAAGTTAAGTAAATAAAAGTCAAACCGATAAGTTAGATTAAATATAAAAATAAAACAAGGAAATACTTTTTGAAATATATATTCTTTTACCAAAGACTTCTTTTGCATTAAATAAATAGACAACTTCGGTTTTAAGATTTACTCGTCTTTTGTTCTAATCTTAATTTTGAATTATTCGGTCAACTGTTTATTTCCAATAATTTATTGAAATTCCTTACTATTCTTGTGAGTTACCTCTCTGGCGTGGGTTTGATCCCGGGAGATGCTTTGGTAGTTTAGCGCGCGCGGAGGAAGGTTGTCTAGACTCTCCGAGGAACGATGGTTAGGAAACTACCCGCCTATATGACTGAAATACTGTGGGGAAAAGGCGTAAAATGAAACAAACAAACTATTCTTGTGTATCATTTAATTTAACTTTAAGCCATACACAGTATGCTTAATAAAATTCGTAGTCAAGGTATATAATATGTCGTATTATTCGTTATGTTTGTTTGTTTGAAAGCTATTGTATCTTTTTGTATATATTAACAACATTTAGGGCCTTTCAACGCATAATTAATGGAAGGTCAATATGCCTTTGTAGACATCTTCAGGCAATAATTGCATAATGGCGAGCAACACTATAGTATAAGCCTCTAAATACAAAGAGTTAAAGATCCTGTATGTTGTCATTAAGGTTGTTACCACACTTAAGTAAAATTTTAAATATGTTTTCTTAAACAATTTTCTTACTGAAAATGTGACTCAGACTTTATAGAATTTCAAAATAAATTTATTTCTAATCACCTTCCTTTATTAACTTGTAGTGTAAATTTGGTAATAACTTTACAAATAATGCGTTTTGAACTGACAATATTGATAAATTTTCATTTGAGCATTATATACATGCTATAAAACCATTAAAAATGGGTTACAGGATATTTAATTAATATGATATGATTATAAATAAAAAAAATGGGAAAAGAAAATCTGGTTTTTTGAGAATGTATTCATGGAATACCAAGTCTACGTTTCCTTTAGACTTTATTGCGTATTTTAATTATCAGTACTGTATTTGCGTATCATATGAGTGGCTTCTAGCAACGGTCATTGACGCTTGCTAAGTTTTACGTAAATTTCGTAAAGTTTTTGTGAAGATAACTTATTAAGAGGTAAATTTTCAATATACTTTTTTCAAAATTATCAGTAGTTGAAGTAAAATAATTTCTTTCTACAATAAATAAAAAACTTCGGTTTTTTAAACTTACTCTTTTTTCCAATCTTTATTTGAATTCTTCAGTTAAATGTCTTTTATAATAATTTATTGAAATTGTCTCACTGTTCATATATATCATTTCATTTAATATTATTTAACTATAAGCCACATTCTTTGTTTTATATAATATGTCGTATTATTCGTTATGTTTGTTTGTTTGAAAGCTATTGTATCTTTTTGTATATATTCGTTATGTTTGTTTGTTTGAAAGCTATTGTATCTATGGAAGGTCAATATGCCTTTGTAGACATCTTCAGGCAATAATTGCATAATGGCGAGCAACACTATAGTATTAGCCTCTAAATACAAAGAGTTAAAGATCCTGTATGTAGTCATTAAGGTTGCTACCACACTTAAGTAATTTTTTAATATGTTTTCTTAAACAATTTTCTTACTGAAAATGTGACTCAGACTCTATAGAATTTCAAAATAAATTTATTTCTAATCACCTTCATTTATTAACTTGTAGTGTAAATATGGTAATAACTTAACAAATAATGCGTTTTGAACTGACAATATTGATAAATTTTCATTTGAGCATTATATACATGCTATAAAACCATTAAAAATGGGTTACAGGATATTTAAATCACGCATCCGGCTGGTGTATAAGATGTATTGTAAACTGTTAAACATCTTTTCTGCTGCATTTTTCCAATAATTTAAAAAAAAATCGGCAAACCATAATATTTATACATAAAACTATTGTTTTCTACATCTAATTTAAGCGATCACTATTAAACTTTGAAAGAAAAGTTAATCTAGATTTCAATTTATAGTTACGACGAATTCTATTTAAAGCATCAAGCTATAGAAAGCCACGGCTGTCTTATATTGTTCTTTTCCAAAGTATCAATATATAAGTTGATTTCACATTACCGGTATATGGTACCAATTCTTCGATATATGGTACTAAAGTAACCATGTATTGAGCCAGATATCCTGATATGGAACTAAATTATCAATTTATTAATTCATTTTTACACTATATGAAACCATTTAATCAATGTATAAAACCAGAGTAGCAATATATCAGTTGATTATCACATTAAATGATAGTAATTTTTCTCTTTATGGAACCAAAGTAGCCATGTATGGAACCAGGTGTCCTTATATGAAACTGAAATATAAATATATTAATTCATTTTACAATATATGATTCCATTTTATCAATGTGTTGAACCAAAGTATCAATATATAAGTTGAGTTTCACATTATATGATACCAGATCTGCAATATATGGATCCAAGTAAGTCATGTATGGAACCAGATGTCCTTATATGAAACCAAATTTTCAATATATTATTTCAATTTTACAATATATGAAGCCATTACATCGATATATTGATCCAAAATATCAATTTTTAAGTGGACCCGACCCTGATGTGGTACCAGTTCCTCAATATATGGTACCAAAGTAGCAATATATGGAACCAGATGTCCTTATATGAAACCGATTTATCAATATATTAATTCATTTTTACAATATATGAAACCAGTTTATCAATGTATGTAACCGAAGTAGCAATATATAAGTTGATTATCACATTATATGGCACCTGTTCTTCAAAGTCTGGTTCCATATATTGTTACTTTGGTATCATATATTGAAGAAATGGTATCATATAATGTGATAATCAACTTAAATACTGCTACCTTGGTTCCATACATTAATAAAATGGTTTCATATATTGTAAAAATGAAATAATATATTGATAATTCGGTTCATATAAAGGCATTTGGTTCCATATATGGCTACTTTGGTACCATATATTGGAGAACTGGTATCATATAAAGTGATAATTAAGTCATATAATACTACTTTGGTTCCATACATTGATAAATTGGTTTCATTAATTGTAAAAATGAATTAATATATTGAAAATTCGGTTTCATATCAGGACATTTGGTTCTTTATATGGCTACTTTGGTACAATATATTGAAGAATTGGTATAATATAATGTCATAATCAACTTATATATTGCTACTTCGGTTCCATACATTGTAAAATGAATTAATATATTGATTATTCGGTTAAATATCAGGACATCTGGTTCCATATATGGCTATTTTAGTACTATATATTGAAGAATTGGTATCATAAATTGTGATTACCAACTTATACATTTCTACTTTGGTTTCATAAATTGATAAATTGGTTTCATATAATAAAATGAATTAATATATTGATAATTCGGTTTCATATAAAGATATCTGATTCCATACATGGCTACTTTGTTACCATATATTGAAGAACTGGAATCATATATTGACAAAATCAACTTAATATAGAAGTAGGTATAAACTGGGGGGAGCAATCTTCGGTTACCCGAAGATTTGCTCCCCGAAGATTTGCTCCCCGAAGATTTGCTCCCCGAAGATTTGCTCCCCGAAGATTTGCCCCGAAGCTTTTTCCTTTACCAAGATTCGCTCTTTATCACGTGACATACATGATCAAACACCAGTCATTAAAAACGTTAGTTTGTGTTAACTAAACTTCATTGCAAGCTAACAGTGAAACATGAGTGACCAGGAAAAGAACACAATTTTACAGCGGTATTATTTTAAGGCGGGAAATCCTGCAGCCTACACGGGTGCGAAGAAACTGTTTAGCGTGCTTAATAAAAAACACCCAGGAATATTTACAATAGGTAAAATCGGTATGTCGGAACATTTACCTTAGATTACATTAAACATTTATGGTAGAAAGAAATGAGAAATGCGGGGGACGTTATTAATATCTGTGAACCCCAAACACAGAATTACTCAAATGAGTACTTAACTTTCATTTCTCATTTGATCTACCTATTCAAGTGCTTCCACGTTATAAATAAGAAAGTTTCGAAACAGTCGTTTGAACAATAAGGACGTACGCACGTGTACCACTTTTGTATTCTATATACAGTGGCCACCTTAGGTAGGAAGAGAATTTTCGGGTTTGATCTAGAATGAATTAATTTACTATTATTATTATTAGAATTTCCAGCAAACCTTTGTTATGAAACAGTAGCGAATAAATTCCAGCTTTGTTGTATTTTCAAAACACGAGGATTTCTGATCCTCATTTACATTTAAATCACCCTTTAAGATTTTTTACTAACTTTCAGCGAAAATAGTTTTTATAATGATAAGCTAATAATAGAAAAACATACTGCGCATCATGCATGAAAACATGCAGCAATGCTGAAATTGTACACACTAGCCTTTCAATTAGCCTTATTCATCTGTTATATACATTTGGAAGAAAAGTGATATGCGAAACGCAAAGAGACTTAATCGTAAAAGTTCTTAAAAGTTCCACACGTAAAAGTTTAATATTCGTTTACATTACACGCCACAACGCACATTGTACTACATTTTTGCTTTTACACTTCAACAACTACTTAATTAACAGTTTCGTGTTCATACGGTAATGTAAAGTCTTCTTATGGGATCATGGTGAAAGGTATAAGTATTTACTAAATCAAATAAAGTATTTTGTATTATTCCGTGGCGACGATTTAGTATAACCTCAGAATAGGCAAAAAGAAAGGGTAATGTTTTTTATAAAGAGGCACTCACTAAAACCACAAGTGTACTTCCTTTAAAATAACGTTAATATGATTGAATTTGACTGACATATTTACATATTTTCCGACATCATTTGCAAAAGTTTGGTTCTGCGTAATCATTTGAAATAATAATGTTTTTTGTTGTTTTCTTTTTAGCTTTATTTTTATAGTTCTTTCATCTATTTTTTTTTAATTTTTAATTTATTATTTATTTTTGTTTTCATTTATTTTTATTTTAATTATTTTTTTTTTTTTTTAATTTTTCATATATATTTTTGGCTTACTTTGTTTTAAAAATTGTACTTATTTTGTTTTCTTTTGAAGCATATGTGTCATTTAAAATATGCAGTAAAATGTTTAGAGAGTGCCTCTTTGAACAAATAACAAAAGACAGAACAACACTGTTTTTATTCATGCATAGAAGGGTTGAAACATAATGGATATGTACGCATAGTACACTAAAATTATAGTTTATCAACAAATATAACCATTTAATATTTCCTTTGAGTACTTTTTATCATTAAATGTTAATGTTTAATAATGTATCGCTATCACAACACAGTGTCAAATGTCAGCATTGATTATTTCCTTTTATCATAGTTTTTATTATCAAATGCAGCACAGTAAAACAGTACATCATCCAATATAAAATTTTATTACAAAATGTCAGCATTAAACATTTCAGTTATTATAGTAAAGACAAAAGTTCGCTGTATATTCACTGTATAAAACATCACGTTTGAACATTTTAAATGTGAACATATTCTCCTTGTGGAATGTGTCTCAGTTTCACCTCTTCAACGTTGTTGAATGATCCACCATTTAGCTTAACAAGTAAAGAAATACTATTTTTAATGGATATATTTTTAAAACATCTCACCTTTCAAAATTATTTAACAGTCCAGTGAGTCAGTACTCTTTCTTTTGAAATCTAAAGTCAGAGTTTAAACGAAATGGTTTACACATCATTTACGATCACAGGTAAAATAAATTATCATGTATAAAAATATGAAAAAATGTTAAGTAACCTTAGTAACGAGGTATTTAATCTCTAGGTTTAAAATTGAAATTCAAATGTTTGGTTAACGTTATGAATAGTTTATGAAAAAAAAGTGATGGGTATATTACGTTTAAAGGGCTGTGTAAATTGCAAATCGACTTTTTAAAAAAAATAAACTACAACCTTATGTACACGAAATCAGTCATTTGAGAAACTGATAAACATTCTTATTCTTATTTAAAATAAAACTAGAGTAAAACATACCTTTTGAAGGATTATATTAATTCCACAAACCACCTTTTTTTATCTTTGTCTGTGATGCAGTTGTAATAATTCCATATTGCGTTTAATTATATATTCCAGATATGAATTTATTTTCATAATAAATTCGCGGAGAAACTATGTAGCACGAACTTATATTCCAAACATGTATTTATTTGTATCAACATTTCACAGAAAAAATCGACATAAAGTCAATCTTTTATAAGGAAGTTACAATGCTATACACCGACACCAACTTTAAAAAATATTTAGACGCGGGCACATATATCTTAAATAAGTTACACACCAATCCAAGCAATGGAAATACTTCAATCTTTACGCCTACATTAAAAATATATCAAAGTTTGGTGATCTTTAAAATATCACGTTTAGTGTGTTTACAGATTTGAGTCACTAGTTGTAAAATGATAAAGTTTAAAGGTAGGGTCTTTTTTTACATTACCTTAAACCACGGCTTTAATTGAATGGAGTGGAAACGTACTATTAACCATATATAAAACGCTAAACTATCTTGTCGGGTATATATACCTGTATACACGCGATCAATAATTGACAGCGTTAAGAGTAAAATGTCTGTGCAAAACTGTGACATACTTCACAAAAAAACGTTGTAGCTTTACTATTTATTACCCGATTTCGAAAATTTATCTTGGAGAAGAATAATGTATTATTGCAAATATCTATTTTATTTTATATCTGTCCACATCGATGATTAAGAAATTTAATACGATGAAATCCATCAAAGTCACAGTTTAAACGAAATGGTTTAAACATCATTAACGGTCTACCTGAGTGTACACAGGTAAAATACCATTTATAAAAAATATGAAAAAAAGTTAAGTAACCATAGTAACGAAGCATTTAATCTCTATGTTTAAAAATGAAATTCAATATGTTTGGTTAACGTTATAGATGTACATGCATTTCAAAACTTATACAGGTTTAAAAAAAGTTTAAATGCGAAATGATAAAAAAAATTAGGTGGGGTCTTTTTTTTACATTACCTTAAACTGATATAACAAATATAACAAGCAGATGTTAAATAGTTTAAAATTATTACACAAAAAAAGAAGCTTTATTAGTTTAATGCTTCAGTTGTCATGTTCTGTTTATATGTCATGTTATTTTTTTTTTTTTTTTTTTGGTTTTTTTTTTTTTGTGTGTGTGTGTGTGTGTGTGTTTTGTATTTGTAAGCAGCTCGAGCGTAGAAGGTGTATATTTGATAAGGAACCTGATTCAAACCCAGCTAATACCGCATAATTTTGTTATCATGGAGATTACTTGCTTAAAGTACAAATCAATTCATCTGTGTAAAATATTTGTCCGTTATTGTAAAAGATATTTAAATACGATAGCGTATAAAGGTTAATACGCTGCAACCCTTTTTACTCATATTATGTAAAATTAGACTGTGACGATAAAACATGCAATATGCCAATATTTTCTCTTAAGTTCACTTGTTATCGACATCATACTTAATACAAAGATCAGTACTCAGATAAGCAAACTGTAAAGAGATATTAAAATGCATAATAACTCTGCATAAACGACATTAAACTGTATGTTGCTATTTTCAAGTGTAGAATCGCAGTGGTATGTTTTATTTTAAACATCAGTCCTTCCTAGCTTTTAATAGACTGCTGTTAGAACAGTTACAATTTAAAAGTAACGCCGTACTTTCAAAAGGTTGTTTTAATATGGGTGACAGACGATCACAAACGAGGAAATCAGTTTTATTATTTTATTGACACTTTGGTTCTGCATGTAAATATATATAAATAATAAAACACGTCTTATTGCATTTTTTGTCCAATTCAATAGCTTATTGTTAGAGCTTCGGAACTTAATTCAAATATAAGAATAATCAGATAAGAAGTATAGGAATGCTTGGACTACTACAAGAAATGCGAGTCCCGTTGCGTTTTTGAGCACTCTTTGTAATAAGCACGTGAAATACACTATAAGTCAGAAATCCATCTTCTCAACAAAGTCCAAATGGAGCTTGTGCCTGTATATTGTCAGCGACTCAACATCAAAGTTCTTTCTTTTCAAATTGTATTTAGGACAAACGATTCTCGAAACACTCGTTTAATCTCTGTCGTAAGTATTGGTTTCACGTTGTTTCATCATTTTTGAGCGGCTTTCGATTGTGTGTTATCGTCCTCGCCTTCCAGGTCGGGAATGTCGTACCTTTCTAACACTTTATCAAACAAAAACTTCCTCTAAAGGATGCCGTATTTTAAAGCTTCTTCAGGACCATAATCTTCAGAATCAATCAGCTGCTGGAATAGTCACCTTTATAGATTTATAGACGGGATTCCTTTTTCATGGCCATCAAACCACAGCAGTTGCTACCAAAACTATTCTCATAGCGTCCCTGTATGTGGCTTTTCATATCCCTGATACACATCTTCCATGCTTCAGCATCGCTGATATCGTTGTTTACCTCTATTGAGCTCATTTACCTTACTGTCAATATTGCGACTGACACGTTCCGAAACGCTTCATCTATGATTTCGTCCCAAGGGTCTAAATTCAAAGGACTCCTCTGAAGAATCTGCCATTAACAACATCACTTTCCCTTTCATTGTCACTATCAAAAATTCGGGGAAACTGATGTGTTAATACTTTCGTTTTTCTTACATCTATGGATCCAAAAATATTTTTCCTCTTTTGCATGTGTACTCTTAGATGCATTCATCAGAGGTAGAATGTGCCAGACTTTTTGGTGTGTCGTAACATATTATCCTTTCTGCCTGAATTCTTTATAAACGCAAATTATCGCATCGAAACAATCACCTTCACGTTCTTTAAACGCAATGAGGAGGGAGTGAAGGAAGTGATTTATATTTAATGTTGTTCCAACAATAGTTGATGTCATCATTTTTCAATATTATTATGATTACGTTTTTTTCCCACTAGATGTTGTCTGTCTATTATTCTTGCTATTACCACCCACTTTGGTTTTTTGACGTCTGCGTTTTTCACCGGATGGTTTTATATCATCTAAACCTACAATGGATACCTCTTTTGGTTTAGCCTGACGCTCCAACATGCTTTTAGCTATGGCAGTCATTTGCTCCGCCGGAAGAACCATCCGTATATACATTTGAGATGACGATGACCGACTGTTTGAACGTCGTGTACGTTTCTTCGTCCTGTTATTAAACAGGTCCGTCTTTTCGGATAGCCTTCCCCTTTTGTTATTTCTCTTTGCGTTATCCAAAATATCCATTTCTGTGATTATACGTCTTCACTCTTTGGCAACTAAGCTGACAATGAACTGAAAAAGTGTTCATTCGTTGTATAAAACTATAATCAAATGTCTTAAAATTACGTTTTAAGTTTCTTTTTATTTCTGATCTTTTACGTCATTTGATGATTCTCAGTTTTCAAAACTTTACTAATGACCTCATTTTGTTTGTTTATTTTGACAAAGGTAATAAACATATTGAGTGGTGTATAACTAATCTGTCTGCGTGCATACAATTACGACTACAGTATCTAGCAACATGGCATCGTTCGCAAGTCATCTTCTCATCGCACCGCCAACACTTAATGTTTTGTGGCAAACAAAGCGAAGTTAAATTCATGTTGTACTGCATGAAATTCGACATATCGCGATAGTAACGTTTCATCTGGACTTTATTTTGAGCCAACATCAAATACCTGTCTGTATTACGAAACATCCATTCAAAAGCGCTATCGTCGTGAAAACCGATCCCTGCCAATTGAGAATACTCATCTCCAAGAAACCGGTTTGTATCGCTAATGTGTTGAGACGAGCTCGTCTCATATCGACATGTTTTCTTCACTTGAATGAACAATCGATCAGGTATATCTTCTACGTAGGTGTTGTCTACGATTTGATCGCAGACATCCAACCACACGTGCGGTATGGCAATATCTTCAATGAGAATTTGTCCGTATATTATTTTTGAAGGAAATCTCGCAATATCAAAACATCGTTTTAAAACAATATTCACAAATCCGCAGGCATTAGAAAGTCCGTGTCTTTTCTGAAGGTGAAAGCTTTCGGCGAGTATTGAATTTATATCTTTACTGTCCTTGACATGATCGGGTATTCGAAAAGGAAAACAGTTATATTCCATGCTGCCGCCTCAATGCAATTTTTTCATCGAGAAAAAACTTGAACAACCACTTGCTTTTACAAGACAGATATGACGAAGGAAAGACCCATTTCTTAAATACAGTTAAGCTATGATTTAACCGTCATTGTACAGTATCTGATTGGTTGAAATACTTATTCTCACACGTCTCCCCATTCATTTTTCATTAATTTTAATCTGTATGCTTTATCAGTCCTTCATTATGACTCCTCTTTCACTCTTAGTACATCCTCTTTCACTCTTAGTACCTCCTCTTTCACTCTTAGTACCTCCTCTTTCACTCTTACTACCTCCTCTTTCACTCTTACTACCTCCTCTTTCACTCTTAGTACCTCCTCTTTCACTCTTACTACCTCCTCTTTCACTCTTACTACCTCCTCTTTCACTCTTACTACCTCCTCACATCGTTTGATTATATGTTGCTTCTAATTAAGACGCCAGAATAGGACTTTCGATTAAAAAATGAAAAGCAGAAACCGCACGCCAACATTGTCGTCAGCCAAATTATTCATAGACAAAAGATCTACATCAAGCTGCTCACCAATGCTCGTCACTCGCACTTTGACAGTCTTAAATCTGTGGCGTCTAGGCTTTTGCAGCGAATAAGCGTCTTGTTCATTCAACCACTGCTTAATGTAAGCTATTGTAAATATTCCTGGGTGTTTTTTTATTAATCACGCTAAACAGTTTCTTCGCACCCGTGTAGGCTGCAGGATTTCCCGCCTTAAAATAATACCGCTGTAAAATTTTGTTCTTTTCCTGATCACTCATGATTCACTGTTAGCTTGCAATGAAGTTTAGTTAACACAAACTAACGTTTTTAATGACTGGTGTTTGATCATGTATGTCACGTGATAAAGAGCGAATCTTGGTAAAGGAAAAATCTTCGGGGCAATTCTTCGGAGCAAATCTTCGGGGTAAATCTTAGGGAGCAAATCTTCGGGGAGCAAATCTTCGGGGAGCAAATCTTCGGGGAGCAAATCTTCGGGGAGCAAATCTTCGGGTAACCGAAGATTGCTCCCCCCAGTTTATACCTACTTATAGAACAGAAAAGAACAGAACAGAAACTTTATTACTTGGTTTAAGTATACAAATACAACATACAATACATAAATGACACATGACATGAATATATATAATTACAAAATCATGGTTTATGTGATGTGAGAATGTTTAATTTGAGATACGAAATTACTTAAAAAGCATATGAATACATGTATATAATATGGAAAGCCATGGCTGTCTGATATTGTTCTTTTTCAATTTATGTAACCATTTGGATAATATATGAGTTCATTTCGACTATATATGAATTGAAAACACCTTCTTATTTAACCGGAATTCATTATATTAATCCACAGTAACAATATATGAAACCATACTGTCAGTATATGAAACCGAGTTAGCAATATATAAGTTGATTTTCTCAATATATGATTCCAATTCTTCAATATATGTTACCAAAGTAGCCATGTATGGAACCAGATGTCCTTATATAAAACCGAATTATCAATATATTAATTCATTTTTACAATATATGAAACCATTTTATCAATGTATGGAACCAGAGTAGCAATATATGAGTTGGTTATACCAATTATTCAATATATGGTACCAAAGTAGCAATGTATGCAACCAGGTGTCCTTATATGAAATCAAATTATCAATATATTAATTCATTTTTACAATATATTAAACCATCTTATCACAGTATGGAACCAAAGTAGCAATATATAAGTTGGTTATTACAATATATGATACCAATAATTCAATATATGGAACCAAAGTAACAATGTATGGAACCAGGTGTCCTTATATGAAACCAAATTATCAATATATTAATTCATTTTTACAATATATGAAACCATTTTATCAATGTATGGGACCAAAGTAGCAATATATGAGTTGGTTATTACAATATATGATACCAATAATTCAATATATGGAACCAAAGTAGCAATGTATGGAACCAGGTGTCCTTATATGAAACGAAATTATCAATATATTAATTCATTTTTACAATATATGAAACCATTTTATGAATGTATGGAGCCGAAGTATCAATATATAAGTTGATTATCACATTATATATGATACCAGATCTTCAATATATGGATCCAAGTAAGTCATGTATGGAACCAGATGCCCTTATATGAAACCGAATTATTAATATATGAAATCAATTTTACAATATATGAAACCAGTTTATCAATATATGTAACCGAATTAGCAATATATAAGTTGATTTTCACATTATATGATACCAGTTCTTCAATATATGATACCAAAGTAGCAATATATTGAACCAAAATGTCATTATATTGACGGGACTTTTTTAAAGGCTGTATTCTATCCTTGCACCGGTATTACAGTTTCGCGCCAATATTCCTTGTTTAAAGAACAGCGTACTTCACTGACTGCATACTGCACATTTTCTGAATAAGGAAATATTTGAATTTAACATCACATTCACTTAAAATGGGCTGGGCAGGCAAAACTTATCGTTATATATGTAGGAGTTGTATGTCATAATTTAAGCTATTAAGTCGTACTGACCATTAACAAAAACATATTTAAAAAATAAGTTCATCTCGACCTTTACCTTTGATCAAAAATAGGCATGGCCAGAAGGACACATCAAGGTTAATCTACTCACAAAGTTTAAAAAATAATCAGTCAAATAATTATGATTTCATGAAAAAGTGTATGAATTGTAATAACAGAACCCAGTGACATCGGCCTTTAAATTGTTGACTTGAAAATAGGCTATTTTGGTTCCATATAATGAAAATTGCTACCATAGAATGTAACATCAACTTATATACTAGCTGCTACTTTGGTTCCATACATTAATAAAATGGTTTCATTATATTGTAAAAATGAACTTAATATATTGATAATTCGGTTTCATATAAGGCATCTGGTCCCATATATGGCTTCTTTTGGTACCATATATTGAAGAACTGGTATCATATAAAGTGATAATCAAGTCATATATTGCTACTTTGGTTCCATACATTGATAAATTGGTTTCATATATTGTAAAAATGAATTAACATATTGATAATTCGGTTACATATCAGGACATCTGGTTCCATACATGGCTACTTTGGTACCATATATTGAAGAATTTGAATCATATAATGTAATAACCAACTTATATATTTCTACTTTGGTTTCATAACTTGATACATTGGTTTCATATATTGAAAAATAAATTAATATATTGATAATTCGGTTTCATATAAGGACATCTGGTTCCATACATGGCTACTTTGGTATCATATATTGAAGAATTGGAATCATATATTGAGAAAATCAACTTATATATTGCTAACTCGGTTTCATACACTGACGGTATGGTTTCATATATTGTTACTGTGGATTAAAACAAAGGATTCCGGTTAAATAAGAAGGTGTTTTCAATTCATATATAGTGGAAGTGAACTCATATATTATCCAAATGGTTACATAAATTGAAAAAGAACAACATCAGACAGCCATGGCTTTCCATAATATAATACATAAGAATTGGCCTATCTTTACCAAACATTATCAATTTAAGCTACAATATATATTGCTACCTCGGTTTCATACACTGACGTATGGTTTCATATATTGTAACTGTGGATTAATATAATGGATTCTGGTTAAATAAGAAGGTGTTTTAAATTCATATATAGTCGAAGTGATCCAAATGGTTACATAAATTGAAAAAGAACAATATCAGACAGCCATGGATTTACATTGTTGCTATACGTATGAAAATCGACAATATCGTTGAAGAATGATAACTATGACTTTTTTAGATATCAGTGTAAAATATAATCAGATCATAACAGCAGAAGACATGAAAATATAATTGCGTTCCCGGTTATTCTGTTATCTTAAGTTTATAAACCTGTAGAAAATCAAAGAAAGTTTTTAGCAGTTTTGTTTATAAAAAGTGTGTTTACATCTGTACAAACGGCCATGTTTAGTAGTTAATATATGCGTACTATAAATATTAAATCATTATTTTTCCAACATAGTCACTTTAAAGGAACAAATGATAATAAATGCAACACATATCTTTAACTTATTTTATTTATGGTTGGCATAAAATTTCCGTCATGACTGGTCATTAAGTAACAAAGTTAATAGAGTTTAAAACTTTTATATAAAATAGAATATTATAAAATAGGTTTTGCTTCGTCATCGATTGCAAAAACCTGTAACTTTATGTTAGATTTTCGCCTTATCCATGGCTGACTAAGAGCATTAAATATTCCACACAATTTGTAATAGAATAATATTAACAATTACATGTATATCAATTATAGTATTATAGGACTAAAGCTCATATCCGAACAGTCGGAAGTGACATTTTATAAATTGCTCCGGATATAGGAAGCTTAATAGGTTTATTCAGATATAATCATTTAAAATTATGTTTCGAAAAAGAGTCAACGTGCTGACAAATGCCAGATATGATAACAAGAAAAAAGGTTTGATGTATGTAAGCTTCCAATATGTTGATGGTATGGGGTTCTTGAATAATTTTTCAGGATTAATGTTCCACTTGATGTTAGTCCAGACCAATAACTTATGTGCAAAGTTTCTGATCATTCGCACACTCCGTTTTTTACAGAATATTTATTCTAATTGTGAAAAAAAATCAAACACTGAAAAGCGTTGCAACGCTTTGAACACAACTCGGGACAGGAATATCAAAAAATAAATATTTTTCAATTTATTTAAGTATAAAGAACATACTTGTTTAGTTCACTGTTAGATCGGAATATATTTCACCGAGTGAGCATCAAAAGGTATATTTCACGAGCCACGAGTAAAATATGAACTTTTGGTGTTCATGAGCGATCTTACACAAAACTAAAAACTTTTCTTTTTATTATATGCAGAGGAATGTTTAAAAAGACACTTTAACGTAATGCTAAATGAAGAGCATGCCAAATAATAATACAACGTGGCATCGTTTACGACGTCATGTCATTAAGTTGGTTCCCAGTACTGTGCACGCTGGTATTTCTCTGAAACAACGTGATGGGCTTAAATTCAAAACAGTGAAAAATATCAAATTGATAATTTCACTGTTTCAAACAGTTAACTATATAGATGAACATGTGTATGTGATTTAATGGAACTGAATTTATATCACTAATGAATAAAACATGAATGCTAATTATTTATTCGGATTGTAACACGTAACCAAATACCTAAACGTACAATAACAATAGCTTTATAGCAATGGAATGTCTCAAGTAACTCCCTGGACTTGTTATTGTATGTAGTCGATCGATTGAATATTAACAACTACATTGTATATCGGTCCATAGTAATTTTAGACACAACAAAAGAAAAATCCCAAAACTATTTTAGTTTTTACGATACAGGTTAAATACAGTACAATAAAATATTTATGAAATTTCAACCGAAAATAATGAAATATTAAGTGTCATTGGCTGTTATTTTATAGTAATCGTTGTTAAGAGGAAAGGTAAGACGTGCCTGAAAACTCGACATGACATTTGAACAAGTGGATAATTTTGTCCTATTTTTATATATAAATACATGTATATTAATTTCATTACAGACATTGTGACAGAATGATGAAGCAAACATTGACATTAATCCTGCTTATAGCAGTCATAAGTAAGTCATTTCCCACAAGTTTAAATAAAATGTACATCTCAATGCAGTTTTATATTATTTACAATCATGATAGGTGATTGGCTGGTTCTCTACCGCTGGTAGTCGAGTTTTGTATTTGATGTTAAAGGGACAGGTCAGTTACTTAAATTCAGCTGGTTTAAAGTTGATATATTTATAACAATATGGTCCATCTGGGATGATCTACATTTATTAACATTCGTTAGATTGTCGAGTCCCTTTAAAAGATGACAAGACAGAAACATGTTGGAAATATTGCAGCTTAAGGATGAAAGTATAGACTTTGAAATGCAATAAGGAAAGAGTGATAGCATTGGAGCATAACATAATGAAATTGATTCATTTTTATAAGTGAAAGGCGGAACTCTCACTTTTGCATTTCATTGCATTTTCATTTTTACTTTTACAACAGGTGAAAGCAATGGAATGTTAGGTGCCTTGATGACGTTAAGTGACTTTATGAACATGGCAACTGGCATAGCCGGTGCTCTTGGAACTGAGAGTTCTGGGCAGGTAAAATTCTTAAATCATTTATAAGTATATACAATATATATATATATAATATATGTACATTTTGTCAGAACATTTCTCTGAATTATACAATTATTCAATATTAGTGGTTCATTTCATTTGAAGTACAGTACAACATGACATTTCTCGCTACGGCTTTAACAGTAACCCTATTGACTATACAATTAGGTCAATATACATTTGCAACATGCATAATTGTTTAAAATTTGACCATTTTAGTCCCTTGTTTATGTCAGCACAACTTAAATATGTTTTATTTCTACAGTTTGAGAGAGGAAAAGGCTGCACGATAAACTGGTCATACAAAGGTCAGGTGAAGGGGTTTAAGTGGAAATACACGGGAATCTGTTCTGATACCTGTACTAAAGAAGTGGAGACAGTGTCTTACAATAGTAAAGGCGGAGCAATAGAACATTGTTTAGAGAATTTATATCACAAAATAGCACGACATGGAGATCTTTAGATATGTGTTATGAACATATTGAGTTTGTATGAAAGACATGACGTTCCATATATTCAAAGAGTCTTAAAATAAACTCTAAAATACGAATCAGAAAATATGACATTGACGATATTTGTATATATAACTGTTTATAATTGAATGGCAACAGTTTTTCTTTTATTCAGACATATAATGACAAACAAACTTCTTAAGCACAAATCCATATATACTTGTTACATGTATGAGCTTGATTTAATCTACTTCTGCCGCAACATCTTTTTTCGGCTTACTTACTTTCCATTTCTAACATATTCATACAAATTGTTTTAAAGTTTTCTGTTTTCCTTTTGCCCATTGTTGTCTGTTTTGACTTTTTATTATTTAGATGATAAACGTGTAGAGCAGTCTTTGATATAAACAACCTTATATTCTGGTGTTCTTAATTACTTTGGGGATGATCATACAAAGTGAAATATGAAAATTACAAGCACTGACATCCATTTTTGTTCTTAAAATGCACCACGCGATTAAAAGTAAAGTGTAAAAAGTAGTTTTTACGTTACATTATACAAGGTTCAAAAGCATAAAAATTATGGTAACTCTAATAAGAAATTAAAATGCTTGAGGACACATGATCTAAGAACATCTACATCTGAATCGTACAATGCATTCACAATTACTTAAAACAATGAGAAAAATAAAGGGTATTTAATACTTTGAGGTCATTTAACGTATAAAACTGACTTGTTAAGATGTTTGTATCCTTCTCAAACCGGGGTTCGAGCAGTATTGAGGTTAGGACCATGACAAGTGATAAGAAAACAGTACTGAATAGCTACAGAATCATACTAGAGATTGCTTTTTCATAATCGACGTAAAGTAAATGAGCCACGTCACGACAAAACCAAAGTAATGCGTTTGCGATCAGCATGGAACCAGACCAGCCTGCGCATCCGCGCAGTTTGATCAGGAACCATGCTGTTTGCTTTCAGTTTCTCCACTTGTAATAGAGTTGGTAAGCGAACAGCATGGATCCTGATCAGACTTCGCGGTGTGGGTCTATGCTGGTCGCAAATGCATAACGTTGGTTTTGTCGTGACGCGGCTCAAATATTGTTTTACCACTATAACAATAGTTCTTATTTTAGAAGTGCCGAAAATTGATAAGTGTCGTACGTCAATTATTTTTCAAAAGAACTTCTTTTTATAGGATATATACATGTATATATTGAAATCAGATCGCCTCATGACATCAACCGTTACAAATAAGATTATGGCTAAATTGCAAATAAGGGACATAACTATTGTGATTGATATTCCGGATACTCGTATATTTTCGGTAATTTCCGTATGGTTCCGTACATGTTTACGAACTTGCTCCCTCTGTCGTAAAAAAGAATGTAGTTTGCAACCTGTCTTGTTGTATTGCACACAGTGCGTATTTATACATGTATAATCGATTAACATGGGTTTCTTATTTTTGTACGCATTAAATGTAGACAGTTACGATCATTCTAATTAAACTGAACTGATTTTAGCATCAAACATATAAGTTTAACGTAGACAAATTTGAAGATAACGAACGATTCATGCAATTTAAAGCAAAATGTGCAAGTCATAATACAAGATGTTCAAGCCAGAATGCATTGTGTGCATGTCATAATGCAAAATGTAATAGTAAGAATCCAAGATGTACAAGTCAGAAAGCACAATGTAACGTAAGAAGGCAAGATGTAATTTTTGCGTTAATACCCTTCCATAGGAGACCACCGAAAGATCATCTCTGTAAAGGTTGGTTAGAAGATGTTGTTTTCGTTTTTATGCCCCCGCCATGTAATGGCCGGGGCTTATTGTGTTACCCTGTTCCGTCCTTCCGTCACTCTGTCATTCCGTCATCATCAGTTTCCGTTCATTATCTTAGTAACGGTTGCACACATTCAACTCAAATTTGACATGTCATGAGAAAATACAGGTCAAGTTCGAATTTGGTTATGGTTCGATGATTTTTGGCAGAGTTATGCCCCTTTTACTTTGAAAATAATATGAAATTTTCAGTTTCCGATCATTATCTCCCCAATGGTACAACACATTCAACTCAAACTTGACATATGGATACGTCACAGGAATGCGCAGGTCAAGTTCAAAGTTGGTCATGGTTCAATGATTTTTGGCAGAGTTATGCCCCTTTCACTTTGAAAATAATATGAAATTTTCAGTTTCTGTTTATTATCTCCCCAACGGTACAACACATTCAACTCAAATTTGACATATGGATATGTTTTTGGAATGCCCAGGCCAAGTTGGAATTTGGTCATGGTTCAATGATTTTTGGCAGAGTAATGCCCCTTTCACTTTGAAAATAATATGAAATTTAGTTTCTGTTCATTATCTACCCAACAACTCAAATTTGACATATGGATATGTCAAAGGAATGGGCAGGTCAAGTTTAAATTTGGTCATGGTTCGATGATTTTTTGTCCCTTTCACTTTGAAAATAATAAAGATACATCTTAGGAATAAGCATATAAGTTTGAATTTGGTCGTGGTTCAATGATTTTGGACAAACTTATCTTTCTTGAATGTTGGAAAAATTTCAGTTTCAGCACTGAAATGTATGTAGCCATTATTTTGGCTACAAATATTAAATATGCTATTTTCTAAAGGTTTAGACTGAATAATTTCAGTGCCTTGAACATTGTATGAAAATGGTTTGTGTTAACATTGAAAAGTTTTAAGGGCTTTGAACTTAAAATGAAAAAAAATTGTGCAAACAAATTTGGAACTAAATATTATAACATCTGAAATTTTGGCTGCATGCGGGGGCATCCGTGGCATGATGACACATTTCTAGTTCCCCTATGAATATATAATGATATAAATAGTCTAAGAGCACTTCAACATCACCACCTTTAGTATTTGTAATTACCTGTTGACTCTTTTTTTTGTTCAAGCAAATCCAATTTTTCATTTATTTATTTCAAGGTGTTTAGCACAGTGTCCTTTGTTCCCATAAGTTCGGTCCGTGTCTCTGCCATCTTCTGCTCGGTTTCTTTTATTCTTGTTTCCGTTTCTAACATATTTTTCTCCATGTTGTTCACATTAAATTCCACACGAACCATTTTTTCAAGCAACTGTTCGTCATACGAGAACTTAGAACAAAGTGGTTCCGGCGCTGACCGCACATTATCAATTAAGAAAGCTACGAGTGTGTATAGATTGAATAAATGCATAATAATAACTTATATCGGCTATATATCCACTCTCGTCTTGAAAATTCTTTTATCCCAATTTGAGCGTCAGTATTTGAATAAGCAGGACAAGAACGTCAGTCAATATACTTTAAAAGAGGGGTAATTCAAAATTAACACAACTCGTCTTGTAATTGCTGGCAGTTTGCAATTAATTCATTCCACTTGTACTTGGTCTATACTGTGTCGGTGTGATGTAAAACCAAATCAAACAAACAAACGTTTGTACTTTATTTCCTAAATAAATCTACATTTTACCTTATATGGCACACAGTTTCAATCTCTTTATCTAAATTTAAATCATTTTCACAATCCTGTTGAAACCAATAAGGCACTGAAATATCGCCGAGAAGTGTGTTATGAGAGGTATATATTTAATGTCAACCAGACCGAAATATTTTATTAGTACAGCAAGGAAATAGCAAGTTCCAAAGAATAAACAGTTTGCTAAATATTCAAACTGTTTCCCTTTCGGGACAAAAATATAAAAAGTAAGCAAAATAGAAAACAGTTTCTTGACGAATCTAGCGCACAGTCCGAACAACTGATCAGCTTTAAATTTCCGACCGGCAACTAAATCCATTATTCAGTTCAAAGACGTAGTATGAAGAGAAAACGAATATCATTTCTTTTAAAAACTGACATGAATTCATACTGATGATTTATCTGAACATCGACCAAACAGGCGAATTTCTTTACAATCTACTTGATTCATGACAATTTGGCGAGCACGCTACCAAGTTTGGAGAAAGGTATTCATTGAGTAGTTATAAATGATATATCATACTACATTATGTTCGTTAGTAAATTTTATCGCATGGAATACGCTTTGCATTCGATTCCCGTAGCATGATATTCGTAGGCATAAAAATAAGAGTGGATATGTTGCCTGCTTTTTAAATTTGTCTTTTGACGTCTTTTCTGTGATACTCAGGCTTCATAACCTCAGATCCCCTTTCAAAATTCCATTTTATTTAGTTCCGCCCATTGTTTTCTCGTTTAGGGCACACGCATTTTTTTACTTGGGGACCATATGCCGCTTTTCATGGAATGGCACTAACGTGTCACATTGAAGGTTCCATGATAACCGCCATATGAACACATCTGCGGATGTTTCAAAATTCTAATTTTTACCAGTTCATGTTAAATGTTGAATTCTGCTTAAGCCGGTGCTAGGGGCGTGGACGGTAACTTGCACTTGACAGTACCGTCCATGAACAGGCTCAATCAAACCGAGCCTGCAACATTTTCAATTTTGCCGTGTTGGGCTTTCTTTAGGGATTCTGTATTTATCTATTTTAGAGATACTTTTGACTAATTATATATAAAATGAAATGCATATAACTACATTTTGTGTTTTCAAAGTGTTACAGCATAACCAGTATAAAATAGCTTACAATCGAGGGTGAATGCACCTTTTTATGTACTCACATTGCAGAAGGTCGCATTTAAAAAGTATTTAAAATGTTTTAGAATTTTTTATTCTTGCATAAGCGTTTGATTCTGGAATTTTGCAGAATAAAGAGATCGGGTTTGTTATGCTTTATACGCGCAAATGTGATGTCATTTGACAGTTTCCTTTGATAATGAAGTAACCTGAGTCGTCATTAGATGTAGTTAGCTATTTTATAACACCTTGAATCACACAGGGTAACACGAGGCTCACTTTCATACATAGTAGTTGAGTTGTTCACCGTCGTTTGAAACTAATTTTACAATAGCATTTATTTCGAATCACCCCTCTTGATATACGCATGCGCAATTAAACTTTTTAGGTTTGCTGATCTAGCACAAATGATGTTGTTTGAAAAAAATTATCAAAGTGTTTTGAGATAAATCTGTTTTTTCTCGATTGCCTCTTGAGTACATCATCCTGGTCTGAAAGGTGTAGGACACTTAAAACGTTTTAAACAAGATACAGAAGTGTGGGACACTTAATACATCTTAAACATGATACAGGAAAGATAAATATATTGTCACGATTTTACAATGTGTTTTAAAGGATATTTTTTCAAAGGCTTACAAATTTACCGTAGGAGATATTTGTTCCTTTTTAAATGCTCAGACACTCTTATTAAATATATCTTTGGGTTAGGTACATGATCCGAAAGTGACCGGTCCTACATGGAAAATGCATTATCGAGCAATGACATGTGTTTTATGTAATAAAATTGAAAACGAACTATTTAAGTAAGCTGCTGGTAAGTCCACAAGCTAACAATAATTCCTGCAGAATTTCGAAATTGGACAATTCTACACTCCAACTTTTTTGATCCCTTATGATAAATATCAAATCAATATTATTGTCGTTTATAAAAGAATGAATATCGACTTGAGTACCGCTCAAGCCGGTACTAGGGGGCGTGAGGGATGTTGCACTTTTTCATCATCCCTCATGTACAGACTCAATCAAACCGAGTCTGCAATTCTTATGTAATTTTGTTGTGATTAATGCTTCCGAGGGATCACTTTGTTTCCAGATTTTTCACATAATTTTGCATATTTGTTATAAATTTTTGATATTCTTTTATTCAAGCATGTCAGGGGACATGAAAATGTTAATTCATAGTAATTACTTCATTTACCTTAAAAAACGTACAAGAATTGTGATTATGATTGCACCATGAGATGCACTGCTTTAGACGTAATGTTTAAAGATGTTTCTATCTGAGTTATAAGAAATGGACTTAAGTGTTACGCTGACACATAAACCCTTATTCTAAGATATTATGTTTTTAGCTAAATTCTCTCTAACGCTGATGACAAGAAAGCACATCTTGTACTAAATAATTTTAAACATTATTTTCTGGTCAGTATCTAATTAAGAATATATTACGAATTTGTACAAAAATAACAGAATATTCATTGTGCAAAAGTCAGATTATTTTTGCAATTTGTAGATTGACCACGGCATTCATTAAATATTCACAAGTATTGCTTACAATATTGCCAGCATTTAATATTTATTAACGTTATCGAACTTTAAGAAATCAACAAGGGGCCTCCGTGGCCACTGTAGGTTCGATCCTCACTCGGGTCGAAATCTTTCATGTGAGGAAGCCATCCAGCTGGCTTACGGAAGGTCGGTGGTTCTACCCAGGTGCCCGCTCGTGCCTGAAATAATGCCCGGAGGGGCACCTGGGGTCTTCCTCCACCAATAAAGCTGGAAAAAAAATCGACGAAAAATCTCGGCGGGACGCTCTAGGATGACCCGACTTGAGTGTACGGTCGCCCATATGGGCTTTCCGGCGGCGACCTTAAATAAACGCATCCAAAAAAAAAAAAATAAGAAATCAAAATGTAAATGCACATCATCGATGTATTTGACCAATTACAATGGCATCGTGTTTCGTCAATCATTTTCGATGACTGTAGACATGCATACTAGTTTGGTCAATCATACTTTCACCGATGAAACAATGGAAAAAGGATCATTATGTTACATTTTCTATATTAAATTAGCTAATTTAAAAGTAAATGACGCTTTAGTTTTTCCTAAAATTTCTTTCGTTCACTGATTGTAAATTATATGGATTCTACTAATGCACTGCTTTAAATATTTAAAAAAATTACATTTAAAAAAGGCGGACTTTGTTCAATCGACTCGTCTCTATTGTACTCATCATATGATTTAACTTCCCTCTTTTTATTAGGATCCTGTGTTCTTTTTTTCAAAGCATGGGAAAAAATCTGTGAAAATAGTACTTCAAAAAGATCTCTTTGTTGATTAAACAAACAATTGTTCTTGGCTGCTTTGGTGTAACAATAGATCTTCAGATCTTACATGTAATAAAGTAATTATATAGGCCCCTCAAAATGTTAACGTTGACAATTGCTTCTTATACTGTATTTCTCGTCTCATACAAATGTATTTTAAATTTGAATTGGACATATCTAAATTTAAATATAAAAAACATTTTATGTTAACATATACATGTATGATGTTATAAATGGAAGATTTTGGGGGCCCTCAGTGAATTATTGAAGGCAGGAGCAGACACATAGAACCACTGAACTACCATAAGCTAGCTAACATGACAGAAGTCCTTGTCAGGATTCTCTCACCGACCACTAAAAAAGTCTTTTATCATTTTCCAACCTGATTTTATTATATATTTTTTCTATACAAAAAAAAAAACATATATATTTAGTCGAGAAACTCGTGCGCATTTGATTAAACATTATAAAAGCATCACCTAAATGCTTTACCGCAGGAATGTTGAAATAACGCTGGCATTGTGCAAAATAAGGCTGATTAATGTATTCGCTTTTGAATTAATTTGTGAGAAAAAGGACCTCGTTACCATACTAAAAGTATGGTTTTGTGTATCGCTAATATTAAAAGAAAATATTAACGCACAAAATATGACTACTTAATAGTTATTGTAAAACTATATACCTGACTGATTTGTTGTGATTAATGCTTCCGAGGGATCACTTTGTTTCCAGAATTTTGTACTTCACAACAGCAGGTGTCAAGTGCCGTGTGGCAGCCGTAAAAAGTTGCCCCGTACTTCACTTCAGTGTTGTTATATTTTCTGGTCCTTCGGGATCATTGATGCCAACACTATAAAGTGTTGAGAATTGAGTACCGCTCAAGCCGGTGCTAGGGTGCGTGAGGGATGTTGCACTTATTCATTATCTCTCATGTACAGACTCAATCAAACCGAGTCTGCAATTCTTATGTTATTTTGTTGTGATTAATGCTTCCGAGGGATCACTTTGTTTCCAGAATTTTTTAAATAATACTGACAGGAAGCAGATTTTAACTACATGTATTATTTATGAGCTAAAGATGATTTCGCGAATGAATCTTCGAGCGGACCTTGGCTCCCTCATAAAAGGTCTCATCACAATCATCCTAATCGGCTTCCTTGCAGTATTTTCTATCAAGAATTGTGTCATTTCGATTTGTATTACAAAATGAAACAACAAATGCAACATTTGTTCTTTCTTAATTACGTTTTTGTATATAATTTGGCATGTGATTTCGCTCTGACTCACTCTTAATTATAAACTATATCCCTATATTTAGAAGGCCATTACCCGGACCAAAGACAAGCATGACACATCTTTAATTTTCTTATCATCAAGAGATCAAACAATAGTTATGCATACTTGTTGATTGAACGGGAATAAACGCCTACCTTATTACAGCTCACTTTAAATTTTGTTTATTGAACGTCATTTGTATGAACTGTTTTGCAAACGACTTCATGCGAGTGCATATCACTTCTAAACTTGTTAACAAATCGATCATGGAAAATTTTGTTACAAACATATATGTAATAAAATCGAACACTCTTGAAAAATGCATGATATTGTTAGTTAATTAAGCTACAAAAGCATTTGACTTAGATAGTATACTCGCATCTTAATACCATATAAACAACCAGTAAAGTTTTCAATATAACGCTAATACTTTATTTGTGCAATATGATTATAATTTTTACAATGTTTACTGTCTACTACACGAGATGTTAAAAGATGGGACTGTCGAAATAATATCTTCACATACAGAATAAAAACAACTTATTTCTATGCATTTTAATGACATTGATAGCTTATTTACATTGCAAGTTTATTAGAAAATAATACAATGTGCTTGTATTGAACAATTAATGAACAAACATGTGTCATATTGTTCTGCACGCACGATTAACTGGAAACAAAATATTAGAATTACTCACTTCTTGTATTTACATTCCTTAATCTCTTGGTCAGAGAGAAACAAATACAATTCCAAGCACAGCTCAAATATATAATTCTCAATCCAATATTATAACTTAATATCTTTTCAAATTAAGCATACAGATACATCTGCCATTCTAAAATTAGTTCGAGATGCCTAAATAAAAATATGATATAATTAAAGTATATAATAGTATATACACATGAATTATATTCATGTTATTTGACGGACCAAGAATCCAGAGAAATAGTTCCAGTCATCAGAGTCTTCATAAAGTAGATCCACGGAAGAAGACCCGCTGTCGTCAATTGTAACCCAAGCACGTTCACCTGAACGCATGCGCACTGTCACACTGAATGATGTATATCTTCCTGTGCCATTAGATGTAAATAATCCACTTGCGTGTGTCTTCCCATTTACTACAAATATATACTGAAGATCTTTCTTATTTTGCACACATAAATGGCAATTGAAGAAGTAAATGCCGCTTACAGGTGCTGTGAAATATCCATTGGTACTAGCATATCCGCTGCCTTCGTTCAATAGAACCTCGGTGAAAACGAAAACTTGGTTGACGGTTACTGATTTGTCTGCAATTTTGTGTGCATGAAACGCCACGACATCCTTACCTGAAAGAAATCAAATTAAGGTTTTATTATCTTTTTTTATTAATTTTTCTTTGTACATTTGCCTATTTCTTTAAAGGTTAAAAATTTAGGATTACGTTTTAATCGAATATTTATGAAATGTTTTTGTTTATTTTTAAAATTCATATAGATATAAATGCTATAGCCAACACCAAAATATGTTATTTCTTGCTTAATTTATTTGCAGTAACCCGAAACTTCTTGTACATGTACATGTACTTGCATTTTTGCCCTACGAATATTTAATGATAATAAATAGTCAAAGAACACGTCAACATTACATCCCCTTTAGTATTTGTAATTACCTGTCAAGTCTGACTCCCTTTTCTGTTCAAGCAAATTCAGTTTTTCATTTATTTCATTCAAGGTGTTTAGCACAGTGTCCTTTGTTCCCATAAGTTCGGTCCGTGTCTCTTCCATCTTCTGCTCGGTTTCTTTTATTCTTGTTTCCGTTTCTAACATATTTTTCTCCATGTTGTTCACATTAAATTCCACACGAACCATTTTTCAAGCAACTGTTCGTCATATGAGAACTTTGAACAAAGCGGTTCCGGCGCTGACCTAGCATGAACACATAGGAAAAGTAAGGAAAGCGTACACGAACTCACTTTCACTTGAAACATCATTTTAGGTATATGCTTGTGCTCGCACGCATAGAAGATTCCTGTCTGAAAATGTAAGCAAATGCAGCTGGTAAGTAACGAATTTTACATTTGTTTAATATATCATGCTTGTTACCATAGAGACATTGGCTTTACTTGCTTTGTTTTGAGAAAATTGTTTCAAGGTAAACTTCGTGTGTAGCCAGCTACAATGTTATTTAAAACGTGCTATTCTGAAAACTACTGAAATATCTATGTGATGTGAATTATAAAGAATTATAAATATAACAGGGCTGATAACCAAAAAAAACAAAAACAACAACAACAACATTGCGAAGTTTCTGATAATTCATATCTACTAGTATGCAATGCACTCCTTTCTTTAAAAAATGCAAATCTTTTCATAAGGGACATTAAGTCTTCCGAGGAATCACTTTGTTTCCAGATTTTTTGAAATGCTATCATTTTTATTTTTCAATTGTTTTGTTTTTTACTTATCTTAATACAGTTTCCAAACATTTACTCATTGGCCATATAGATAAACTATTTTTGTTCATTTGGTGTATTTATAGTAATTTTGCATGGAAGTCAAACAACTACTTTTTTCTTCTTTTACATGACTGCATGTTCAGTGCTACTATTTTTAGTTGTTTACCATCTGAAACGCTCTAAATTCATTATCAAAATATTATTGACATTTCATAAAGGGATGTTCAGGCAAATTAATGACAAAAATATAAACATGATTTTAGGTGCTTAAATCGCGCTGAATGTCCAAGCATGAATTTCTGTATAAATTGGTATTATGTATATATGTTGAACGAAATTAAGACGCCGACTGAATCACCGAGTAGTTTTAAAACAAGTCATGTGACTTGAACACACCATGGAAGTTACAATAACAGATATTTTGGATGTTGTATGATTGAAACAAGTCTTAGTCGTTCATTTGACATGTTCTTTAACGTTTCCAGACTTTACTTTGACAACTATTGTGAAATCTTAACGCTCTAACCTGACCCACGTGGATCAAGTTAGGAAACCACCATTTTATTTTTTACAAGGAGAAAAAGTTTTGTTCATGTGACTGCCTTGGGGCATTTACAGAATAATGAATGAAAAATACAAAAAAGAAGAGATGAAAATTTTGCCTGTGTCTTCCTTTCAGGAATTAAAAAAGATTGATTTTTGATATACATTATAGACCTTTAATCTCAATAAAATATTAAATATCAACATTTTTTCTTATTATCTGATATGTTACAAAAGTGGGGAATCATTTAGTGTAAAAATATGAACTATCAAAATCTGATAAATAAGTTTTTAGTAAACCTTGAACATTCCTTGTTAAAAACAATTCATACTCCCACCATTAAGAGCCTTACCACGATAAAGTGGGCAAACGTTTACTTTACGGTATAGAAATCAATGTGTCTCAACGTTAGTGAAAACAGACAAGTAGATATTTGAAAAAAAATTGTAGCAATCTCATTATCGCTTTTTGAAAAAAAGGATATCTATCTCCGTGCCAGCTCTGAGTAAGCCTCTAGTGCGTTATTAGCCCCCTTAAAAAGAGGTCAAATATCGATATCAAAGCCGGCTCAGAGTTTTATGTAAGCTCGATATTCGTCTTCTTAAAAAAATTATATATACTGTAATATTAATAATTAAAGATAAACATTGCTCATCTTTGAGTAAAATATTTTAATCGGAGAAATTTATTAAAACCTATGAAGTTCTTGCTGAAAATGTCTTATTTAAATAAAAAAATGAATAATAAACTTTATTGGAAGTCATGTTTTCTATTATAGGACAAGTAAAGTTGGTTTTTTCTTAAAAAACTGCCAGTTTTTTTAACGACACTACATATTCATATTGTGACGACCTATGTGTGTGGAGCTTTAAACATGACATATTAACTTTGTGTGAAGTCAAAACATGTTTATTTCATATTTACACAGAGACTGTGTAGCAATTATCAATATTTTCTGATATCAAATTTGAGCATAGTATATCTGGTATATATTTCTACCTTGGTTTCATAAATTGATACATTGGTTTCATAAATTGTAAAAATGAATTAATATATTGATAATTCGGTTTCATATCAGGACATCTGGTTCCATATATGGCTACTTTGGTACCATATATTGAGGAATTGGTATCATATAAAGTGATAACCAACTTATATATTTCTACTTTGGTTTCATAAATTGATACATTGGTTACATATATTGAAAAATGAGTTAATATATTGATAATTCGGTTTCATATCAGGACATCTGATTCCATACATGGCTACTTTGGTACCATATATTGAAGAACTGGAATCATATATTGACAAAATCAGCTTATATATTGCTACCTCGGTTTCATACACTGACGGTATGGTTTCATATATTGTAACTGTGGATTAATGTAATGGATTCCGGTTAAATAAGAAGGTGTTTTCAATTCATATATAGTCGAAATGAACTTATATATTATCCAAATGGTTACATTAATTGAAAAAGAACAATATCAAAAAGCCATTTGTCTTTTAAGTATATGTCTATACTGTTTTGGAACTCTGTTATTGTGTCTGGCTCATATTCAGTACCATCTTTTTTCATGAAGCTAGAAAAATAGATGAAAAAGGTACATGTGGAAAAACAATTTTTAGATTTTTTTGTGAAAACATGTTAATTTTTCAATAAGGTCGACATCTACATGCACATTCCCAAGGGACTGGATTTTTACATTCAATCCAGGACAAAGCTGGTGATAAACTTAATGATGAAGATTGCAGTAGAATCACATAAGTTTCCTGTATATACAACAGTATGCCTACATTTGCAGATGTTTCAAAGTTATATTTTGTATTTGTTTCACGAGTAATTGTAGGGTACATTGCATTTACCACTATCGTCCATAAACATGCTCATGAAAACTGAGCTTGGTTAAGAGCCAACGGTTAACACGTTATTATTAGCTTGTTCCTCAACCTTATACGTTGTGACATTATTTCATCTGTCAACAAAATTGTGTGTTACAATTGTGTGTTACAATTGTAAAAATACAGAAATATAGTAGGCTTATTGTGTTGCAGCCATTTTTCGTGTGACGGAGTTGCATGAATTTAATTTTGATATGTATTTGTGTACAGTCATAGACATAGGCTTCATTATACAGTCGTAATATAGATGTTTTTTTGCAAGTGACTACTGCAGTAGGAAATTTTATAAAAAAAAATATAAGTATAATGTTAATAATTAATAAAATAATATGAAGTCATATATCTAGATAAAATCTTGCGAGAATGGTATCAAGCTCGTAGGGAGGGATTTCTTTAATAGGCCTTGTCTCACACTGGCCGCCCATTCTTCAAAGATTTGTAAATCACTTCTAATTTTGTATACTGTTGCTTTGGTCTTGTTTTGTTCAACAATAGATTTTGTTTTACTAATGTCTATAGATTTAAAAACGTGCGTACTTTCTGTCGTCAGTATCTTCTGATCTGGCACCACAGTTACCAAAAACATGCATATCCTCATTCTCCAACATTACATTTTTCCTTCGTCATCAAATACTTTATTCTCAAACAAATTTTCGTCACTGCAAACTTGTTGCATGTCGATAATTATGTCTTGATGCAGAATATCGTCTGCTATCTGCTCCAGAATCCTCTCACCTTATCCATTTCAATATTTTATTTCGGAGAAAAGATGTCGTCTGACCAAACATTATCCGCGACATCAGGTTGTTTCATTTCTCGCAAAAGTCGTCGCAGAGGGTCCCTATTAAAACACTCTGATTGTACCAACATTCAAAATGGCGGCAATTTTTTTCTGTGGAAAGAAAAAACACGGTCTTTATGACAAAACTCGGTCATTATGAGATTTGGACCAATCAAAATGCCCGAATCTCATAATGGCCGAGGTATTTCATAAAAGGCCGTGGTTTTCCCATAATGGTCGAGTATTTGGTTATAACGCCATAACAAGCCTGACTTTGAAGTCAAAACGCGCCTGATATCGTACAGTTAATTAATAATAATCTCAGAACTAACTGGAAATTCAAGGCAAGTTTTATATTGGTTACTTTTCATTTAAAACTATCTCCGAGCCGGGTCGAATTTTAAAGCTAGCTAGAAATTGAATTTCGATGTTCGATTTCAGATCTTAGAGCTAACTTCTCGAAGCCTATCGAAAGATGAAAAAATGGTCTACGTGACAAATCTTTCTTCGAGTTTTGAAAAACAAGCATATTTAAAAAAAACAACATTTATCTAGAATCTGTGTTGACCTTTTCAACTTTGTTTGAGTCGAGGGCTCAACAACGAAAATATCGAGGACACATCATCGTAATGTGAAAGAACCACATTAGTGGTTGAGTATATTTCTTAAATATATTTTGCATATCTTTCAGTTGTAAGTGCTCCAGTTGTTTTATTTACAGCAGTTTTAGGCTTTTGGACCTTCGTGGAGTTTCTTTAAGGACATATCGGAATTTTTTTTCTAAAATAAAGAATACATTTTATATATAAAGACTTTGGACCTTCAAGTCAGGTTGAAACATACGATAATAATGTGTCATTTAATTAGTATACCTTTCAGTTTTTTCAGTTTCAGTTTCAAGTAAACACATGTTCTAATCATTTCTTTAATCACACATTCACCAATTGGTACATTTACAATTTTTATATCATTTAATTTCAAAACGTTGCAAATCTTTGCGACATCCTCATTAAAATGTATTAAGCCATATATCTGCTGCCTGTAGTTCTAAAAGACCTCTTTGATAGAAATATACTACGTTAAGAGCTTATAGCACATGCACCAAATCATTGCTAAACGGCTGAAACCATACTAAGAATAGCTGCATAATAATTTTCCGGAACATTTTATACTGTTTGTGATTAAATGCATGTGCAATAAGTACAAGGCATTCTATGTTATAGCTCTTTCGATAATCGCCATAAGATTATTGAGGCAAATAATATAATTATACATTGTATAGATGTTATAAAAAGATTCAATTACATATAGCTTTATACCCTTTAAGATATTTCAATTAAAAATGGAAACTTTAATTCATATGTCTTAAAATGCCTAATCTAATATATCTACTGCGTGCGCAAATTAAAAAATATTTAGAAAAATTTGATCAACTACGCACAAAATATAGGCTTAGCATAGCTTTCGAATATTGCTTTTCTGAATTCAAAACAATTATTGATTTATTTTTAATCTGTAGATAATAATAATTACTCTTTCTTTTCATACTAGCAGTCATTAAGTTCACATTAGATATTGAAACATAGTATTAGCATACAAATCGTGACTGCATTTTGCATACTAAGTTAGATTTTATTTTAGATTGGACAAATCTATGTTTGTGTGCATGTTGTGTATTATCCATTACAAAATACAAAACAAAAAAAACAATACTTTAAACCTTATTTATGAACTATTTGCCAAATAAATGAATAAGTAACTCTCGATTATCACATGCTTTAACATTGAACAGCATTTATTTACTTATTAACCTTTGTCCGTATTATATAATAGCACAATATCCCATTTATACATAGTATTTGAATATACTATGTTATCTAAAATTAAGAATATATATCATTCAAACACTATCATTTTTATCCATCTCAACCATCTGTCAGTTCAAGACAACATGAAAATGATAAATAATGGAAACCTTAATGAATAATGGAAACCTTAATGGTTGCCAATCTCGATAAATGAACTGTTTTTTCGCAAGCAATATTTTTCTGCTCTGTCCACTGTCTGCGTTGTTAATGAAATAAAGAGAACATTTATTGACAAATGTTTCACTAAAATACATATATAACATCACCTATATTTACAAATAAAGGAATTCACATTATATGCTGGATTAACGTATTAAGAATCCAGAAAAGTAGTTCCATTCCCTGCTATCTTCATAGATCAAATCTGATGAAGGTGATCCGTTACCGTTAATTGTCACCCATGCACGTTCCCCCATACGCATGCTTACAACACCACTGAATGATGTACAAGTTCCATGTTTATATGGCATGAATAATCCACTTGTACGTGTGTCACCTTGAGAAACAATTGCATACTGTATATACTTATTTACCACTCCACATAACTGACTGTTGAAGAAGTAGATGCCGCTTACAGGTGCTGTAAAATAACCGCTTGTACTAGAATAGCCGCTGCCTTCATTCAAGACAACCTTGGTGAAAACAAAAACCTGATTATCTGCCACCGATTTATCTGCGACTTTGTGTGCACGAAATGCTACGACATCCTTACCTAAATAAAAGAAAGCATTCTCATAAATGTAAATGCCAATTTATAAATGGTTATATAACTTCTCTTACAGAAAGCAATTCCATTCCTCACGTTGAATGATGTCAAGACATATATAGTATTTTTATGAAAAGAACATGTCATCTTTAAACTGATTTAATTGTTATGTATAGAAAATATTTAGTTTTGTAAATACTTGGAAAAGTTTATGTACTAATATAAAATTATAAATAAAGTAAAATAAAGTAAAGCAAATAAGTCTTAGCAAAATTAAACTAAATAACGATAAAAACTATGAACATAATATCAAACTTTAAAGGAAATGAAATAAAACTAGAATTATCATGAAATAAGTTAATTTCTCATGTTTGGTAACAGGTTTACTTTTTCCGTTGTTATTACCTCTTTTGGCTTCTAACATCTCGTCCTTCTGTTCAAGCAGCTTTATATTTTCATTAATGTCGGCCAGGTTCTCCTGCATTTTTTTCTGTGCAGTCATTATATCAGCGTGTGTCTCAGCCATCTTTTGCTGTGCTTCTTGTATTTTCCTTTCCGTATCCATCATATTTGCATGTGTTTCACGCATGCTTCTGTCCGTTTCTTGCATAGTTTCCTCCGTTTTCCGCATGCTCATCTCAGTTTCTAACATATTTTTCTCCATGTTATTCACATTAAATTCAACACGAACCATTTTCTCAAGCAACTGTTCATCATATGAGAACTTAGAACAAAGTGGTTCCGGCACTGTCCGCGCATAATTTTTGACGATGATTAAATGTATTAAGAACAAATTAATTTTAAGATGAAACATTGTGAATGTCCGTAGTTTCCGAAAGAATAAGAAAGTCTGTTTGCACAAGTATTTACTATTGAAGAATAGCTGATAATAATCTATCTTAATGGAGAAGATAAAAAGGCAAGTTATCATAAGCCATCTTCGATATCACCATGTCTGGTTGTTTTCGTTTATTCTTAACATATTTTTTCAGCAAAGAGATAATGCGTTCTGTTCAAATCATTTTACAGTAAATGCTTCGATAATTCTATTTCTAAGTAGAGCCGCATGTAAAATTATCTTCACTTCAAAGTCTGGACATCTTAGAAATGTACTTCGCAAAGCACATGGGGGATATTGTTGATTTAGTTTCATTATTCATTTCATTGCATTGAGTCTCGAACACATTAGTCCAATAATATTTTACTTATGTTCTTCAATTTAATGCAATTTAATTTCAAATTTGGATACTATTTTATTACGCATGAGATCACGAGTATTCAAAATGTGTTGTGTTATCAATGTGATCCAACAATGCTTTTAATATTGACAATATTTTTTTTTGCTAATGGAGGTCTTAATCAAGTCACATACCTACATTTCTTCTGATCATCGTGTATACTCATCTATTTTATTGCTCATTTAAGAAGATTTCTAACATGCATTAAATATTATTTTCTGCCAGATATTTTCAGCATTGCTGCTTTTAAATTGTACGACGACATGACAGTCGAATACAATAACTTATTTGACGTTGAACTGTACGAAACAAGGAAATGCATTTAGCAACACTTATTACCCCTACTGCATATTTTGAGATATGTGGAAATACATTTAGGCAAATGTGACATTCAAACGATGACATTGGGGTTTTAGGGTGGATAAACAGCTGGCGACAAACAATGTGATATTTGGTGTGTGAGTTCATATCTATACCTCGTATTTTTAGAACAGTTTAAATGAACCTTTTATTCTTTTCCCAAATTATATTCTGGAAACCCAAAGTATGACTATATGATATCATTCTTCTGGTAAGAAAACTTTATATGCTCTGTACAGACAGCATCTTTTATTATTTTATTCTTGACGTTACTGTACATGAAAAAAAATCAAGTCCATAGAAAGTGACATTGGCCTCGATTATAGGTAATATGCATGTTAAGGTCAACCAATCAAAATCAACGTTACATAAAATAAACATCTGGAACAGATTACGGATTGTGTAAAAAAAAAAAAAAAAACAATGATAAAGGCGATTTTTTCCATCAAAATTTGTATCAAAGTGCTGCAACTTCTCAATGGGTTGAGATAGAGTCAAAGGCTTTTCAGCGTTGGTTACACGTTACCTTATAATCGACCTGGGGTCATTTTTAGGCTCCCACAAGTCCAAAATTTTCTGGTAATCCCCTGATGTATCTTTTGGATAGGGGGCGGCGCCGAAAAAGTGCTCACTTTTTTTAGCAACATTTCTCAAACGAAAGCATGTGTTTGGGGCCCAAATAGGACATTTTTTTCACTATTTCAGGCCTAAAAAGGGGGGGATCGAAAGTGCCTTGTTTCGCGTACATTGTATATACGAGGTAAAGGGTTAAAGCAACTATTGCATGGACATTCAATAATTATCAAATTATGAATTAATTCCACGCATAAAATAATATACTACTGTATATAGACATGTCTCATTTGTAATTATCACCTTTCACCGATTTAATAGAGGATATTTGTTTGTTTGTGTGTAAAATGAAATTTTATTTCATCGAGTGGGCTTTAAAAACAGTATACTCACGAGTGGCGTAGCCACGAGTGAGAATACTGTTTTTTAAAGTTCACGAGATGAAATAAAATTACATCTTACACAACAAACAAACAAATTTCTTTTTATTTTATGCTAAAAAACAAGTTAAAACGAAATTTCCATAATATTAACGTAAATATTAAAATCTGTTTTCCCCATTGAGAGCCCCATTTAGTCGGAATTTCTCATTAAAAACAAGAAGTCTTGAGCTGAAAAATAAGTCCGACAATCAACGTTAAATGACAGTGATATTATTTATTTTGTTTAAAAAATATGAATGATCGCTTGTTTTAATAATAAAAACAAACAATTCTTATAGGAGAAAATTCCAACCATCCATCCATTTTTCTGTTACTTACTGCGAATTTATATTAGACCTGGCTTTGTTAAATGTAAGCGGCAGCCTTTTTTTTTAAAGTTGTGTATTTCACGGGAGGAAAATAATTGTGTTTGATTCAGAGGGATATCATTTGGATTTATTAGTCATACACCTTTTAAAAAGAAAGAAAACATATTTGAGGATTGAAACAGACATAAAATAAGTGTTGACAGATGTGAAAACATAAAAAAGCAGCTATGAAAATGGAAAACTTGGAACTTGCTCGGAACGCTGGGTGGTTTACTTGTTGTACGAGCTGATAGCTGTCTATGCTTTTCAATTTTTCATAAAGCATACGACAGTTATTGCTCGTTGGATACTTTAATATGCCTAAATGTCATCAAGAGCAGTTTGCATGTGGAAGGAATGTATTTTTCAGACTGTAAAAATGAAACAAAAAAATTACAGACGAAATTTGGTGATTGGAATTTGAATGAATAGAAGTAAGTTTTCTTCTTTTTATTACTTTTGACATTTAAGTTATTTATCAATTTCAGCTTTGCGTTTTCTTTAAACAGCCTGACATTGTCAGAATTGTTAGCAAAAATAAAATTGAGGTACCACATGGGAAAAATCTTAAAAAAGTAGTTTCGTCATTGAAAAGTGTGAAATTATATTTTGATAATTTTCACTGTGAAATTATCAAATACAAATGTATATGTTTCACGGATAAATCAGTTATCCACTGAAAAGCATAAAATAAAAGTAATTATACCATACCACGCGGCTTTAGATGTAAAAAACCATAGTGTGTAATCTTTGATAATGTATTACAGATGTATATATTTGACAGCCAAATGTAAATGAAGTCTATTTCTGTGTAACAGTAAAATTCGGATTGAAAATATGTCCGACAATTGAGTTATCAATTTAAAAATGCCAAATGAAGTACACTTATAAACAAATCTAAATTCATATCAACAGGCAGACATTTTGTATTTTCGGTTTCTACAACCATACTTAAAAGTATATAGATAATTTACTGTTTACTCTAATATCTATAAATTTATTTAATTCATGTTATTTAGGCAGACTTTTACTCGATATATTGGAATAAGTTCTATCTCTACACATATCTTTTACATCCAAACGAAAAAAAAAATAATGTGACCGGTATGATATAGAAAATGCCTGATAATTAAACCATAAAACTATAATTTTGTCTCATTGTCATTTTTCGTTCGTAATTTACATACTCTTTTGACCTTTTAAGGCCACCATACTATGATCGGTAGAAACATGAATAAAGCTTATCTTCATATATTTCTATATATGATACTCCAGTTAAAATGTATGCCGGTAAACATTTCCTATATAAGCTTTTGCTAGCTCATTAGTGGCATAATAAACAGAAATCTGTGGTTGATCTGTTCTATAAGGTAAGATTTAATTGTGTGTCTTCTTAGGTTTCATTGCATCTTATCATTATTAAAAGAAACACATATTCTTTTGTAATTATAACAGAATTAGAAACACTCTAATACACTCTATGTTTATTTGAATGTCAATCTTTTTCCAGAGTTAACGACTAAGTTCAACACTGCAAATTGTTATGAATGTAGTATATTTTTATCACATGAACAATTGTTTTTAAATATTATATAATTTAAGACGATTTATAGAAACTTGCTTGGTCTGACAGAGTCCAGTAATTTAATTGTACGATTTCGGTTTTTTCCGCAACCAAAAAGTTGTAGACCTAAGATTTTTTTTTTGATTATCTATTTATATGAACGGACTATAGAAGGCATTTTTGCTTCGTGTGTTTGTACATATTATGGGGCTACCATGAATTCACCCTGACAATCTTAATAAAGTTCACAGCATTAAATCGTCAATAGTAAACGGGCCTCTATATAATTATTCCTGTAAACGCACGTTACAAATATCTGGGTCAGTAATCATTAAGAACGTATGCATATTAGCATGTACTTTCTGGTACACTTTTACAACTTGAAATTTTGCCTAAATATCTTGAAAAACAGACATTGATATTTTGATATTTACTGCGAAAGATCTTATCAACTGGGCCAAAGCATCGATGAACTTCCGCAAAATTAAAAGTATTATAAATGCTGAATTTAAGAGAAAACATGTTTGCGAAGGCATTTGTTATCCACTTTGTAGATTTTCTCAACATGTCTCTGTTAATCAGCATTCAATGAAAATGTTTTAAAAAGGGCTTATTTCAAATAATAAACCAATTCTATTTAAACTCATGAGTTCGTATGGAATGGACGGTAAAGTATAACTGTCATCGGCGTCATATTAATAAGGTTAATTCATCAAGATCTTTTTTACATTGTGCAGAAGATGTTTCGTTTGGCCGTAACTTTGATGGCAGTTATTGCTGCGGCGACATTTACATGTTCAATATCAGTAGAAGGTGACAGTATAAAACGTGCAGGTAAGTTGACCATGTGCAATAAAGATTCTTCTGTGTATTTAAGGTCATATATAAGATATCAATATGCATGTAAATTGGTTAAGTTCGTGTAAAATTGTTCGTTTTAATATAAGACGACTTTATATATGTAAGATGATTACGTGCATGTAAAATGGTCATGCTCATAAAAGATGATTACGTGCATGGAAAATGGTCTTGCGCCTATAAGATGGTTGCGTGCATGTAAAATTGTCAAGCGCCTATAAGATGGTTGCGTGCATGTAAAAATGGTCATGCTCATATAAAATGATTACATGCATGGAAAATGACCTTGCGCCTATCAGATGGTTGCGTGCATGTAAAATGGCCTTGCGCCTATCAGATGGTTGCGTGCATGTAAAATGGTCATGCGCCTATAAGATGGTTGCGTGCATGTAAAATGGCCATGCGCCTATAAGATGGTTGCGTGCATGTAAAATGGTCATACGCATATAAGATGGTTGCGTGCATGTAAAATGGTCATGCGCCTATAAGATGGTTGTTTGCATGTAAAATGGTCATACGCAAATAAGATGGTTGCGTGCATGTAGGATGAGCATGCGAAAATAAAATGGTTGCGTACATGTTAGATGGTCTTAAAATGATACATGATCATGTGTATTTTATTTGTTTTAGGCAATGTTTGATGTTTAAAATGATTATGAGTAAGACTGCTATGTGTGTAATTAGATTTTAATGTGAATTTAAAGGCACATTATGCTTCAAAAATATTATTTTACGTCTTTTAACATGCATGTTATAATGTTTTAACTATTGTTTGAGAGAAGTAAGATGCTTGTTATCTGAAGAAATTAGCTATACATGTGAAATAATTTGTCATAAAGAATACAAAAAGAAAGCAAAGTATTAATTCAACTTACAAAATACTCAATTACTATAACTGTACTATTTTCAAAAAAAAAAAGCAACAGAAGAAAATAATGTTCAAGTAATTGGCAAATGAGTAACCTTGTGGAAATTAAAAATGTACACACAAAAATGAAATGAAAATAAAAGCATTTTTGAGGCATAATGGGCATTTAACAGAACATGTACATGTTAAAAAGTCATACGAATGTAAAATGTTTCTGTGTAATGTTGATGAGATATGACTAGTATCTGTGTAGTCATAGTAACTACCTCTGCACCCGAGAAGATGACGTCGCATGCAACGTCACAGTAGATGATGTCCTGTATGTTTTGTGATTGAAATTGATCACACTTGTAAAAAAGTTATATATGTATATAATAATGCAAATAAAACAATTTTCAAACATCAAAGAATACGTAAAATGTGAACTGCAAATATTTGTGCACATTATATATATTAAATCAATAAATTACATGTATTCATTTCTTATTGGAAAATTTGACTTAGAATTTTTAGGAAATAAATTTCTAATTACTAGTACCTCCCTTTATTTACATGAAATGTTAAATTGGGAAATATCTTTATAAATAATGCTTATTTGAACTTACAATATTGACAAATCTTAATTTGAGCATCATATTTATGAAATAAAACCCTGAAAAAATTGTGTTACAGGATCTTTTACGGAAGCGTCCAAGCTTTTCCGAGTGTTTTTATTTTCTTCTGCAATACGTTTCTTCCTTCGTATTTTAATAAATTTTGTCTATAAACAACTGTTATTTATTTCAGATACTCCATGCATGAGGGGAAGTGACTGTACTAAATGTGGAATATTAGATTACTGTTGCCCCGGCAACTGTTATCAGTTTAAAACGATAACACCTACCGAATGTACATGTCCATGAGTATAACAAAACAAAGAAAGCGAAAACCTGATTATTTCTTTATATTGCTCCATTAGCTGTAAATAAACATTATCTAACGACCAGTTATGTTTTGTTATTTTGTGTGGGTTTATGTGAATTACCGAAATAAGTCCAGGCTATTTACTTATTTCCGAGTAAATTATCTTATCTATACGTACCTGTTTCCATGAAAATTAAATAATTTATCTGCTTGTGAACCCGGATCTCTGAATTAGCACAATAAAACAACAAAATAAGATAAATCATGTGATATGGTGTCCAATAAAGAAACCATGGCTGCGTAATTCTTATATCATCATCCAGTACCACGGTTATATCCGAGCTTTGATAAATTTTGAGGTTTGTTAAGTTTGAGGGGAAATACAATATCTACGGGGCAGCTCTATTTGTCATGTTTTCACATGAATACATCATTATATCAACATTTGTATAATGGTTATAGAGTTTTAAAGTGGCTCCACTGAGGTTTTTTGACGTGAAGGGACTGAAAATATTTTTAAAGATTTTTGTACAACTATACATATGTCTGGACCAATTAACTCATGTACAAATTTTCAGATCATTCGCTCACTCCGTTTCCAAAACATAATAAATTTTATTTTGCAAATTGGCCCAGAAATGAAAACTGTTGCAACACTTTTCACTTAAATCGGCGAAAAATCGATTATCATTTTAATACCGTATATATTTATATTTCATCTTTTGCTTGATTTCAAATTTAAGTGTACCAGTTGATTTAGGCTTTTGGACCTCAGTGGAGTTCCTTTAACAAAAAGTAAGACATGTTGGAGAATTGTTCTGAATTGATTGAAATGCCTGTATAGTGTTCGAAAAAGCAGTGCGAATTGCATCTCTATCATTAAAGGAACTCCACTGAGGTCCTAAAACCAAAAGCTTTAAACTTTCAATTTCTTACATAGACCAGCTGGGACAAATAAAACAAAAAGATACGCAAAAGATATGCAAAATATACTTAGAAATAAATTTAAAATTGTATTTTTGTGTTGTTCTTAGCCAGTTTATTAAGCGAAAACGTTTCAACGCTTTTCAATTTCGGTTATTTTTACAATAAAAATTATTCTGGAAAAAGGAGTGAGCGAATGATATGAAATTTTGTATACAAGTTATCGCAAATAATTATTTCCAGTCCGTCATGTCAAAAGCAGACAACAACAACAACAAACAGTGTGGTCCATTTAAGTCACGTAAATGATATAAGCAATCTAGTCACCAATGTGAAAGAACTGCTCTACTGCTAACATTTATAATTTAATTGATTAATTAGTTACAAAAAGGCCAGCCCTTTACGAAACAAAATACACGTGATAATAACATAAATAAATAAATTAATTATTTAATTAATAAATTAATTATTAATTTATTAGTTTTATTTATTGTCACGTGTATTTCTTTCGTAAAGAGCTGAGCTTTTTGTTTCAGGTCACTCATTTACAGGGGTCTGAACGAATCGATTTACATGCTTAAATAGTAATTTCATAGAGAGCAAGTATTGCTTCAGAAAATCTTTAAACTTTCCAGTTTCTCTCCCTTTTTATATTATAATTTGATGACTTTTTGTTTTTGTTTGTTTGTTTCATTTTACTCTTTTTCCCAACAGTATTTCAGTCATATAGGCGGGTAGTTGTCTAACCATCGTTCCTGGTGAGTTACACCAGTACTAGACTACCTTCCTCCGCGCTAAACTACCAAAGCATCTCCCGGGGATCGAACCCACGCAAGAGAGTATGACTTTTTGTGTTATGAAATTAAATATTTTACATACGTGTTGTATTAATAATGTCCGTAGAATGGAGACTTTGTCATTTAATATCGATTTTACACCTTTTTCTGCCTTATACTTTTATGTATATACAAAGCAAATATAAATTAAATTGTTATACTGTATTGCTTAGAAAGCATTCCTTGAATTAATTACTTGAATAATATACATGAAAAGGGACAACTCTGATAAGATCCCAGTGGTATTTTTATGTGTCTTTTTCTCCAAACGTGTAATATAAGATAAAATGACTACTACCATCAAATAGAAATGTATAGTTATAAAGGGGAGGTAAGAATATCTGTTTCATAGCATTGATCAAATCAAGCGTTTTCTCCCTTCGTATATTAACCGCTTTTGAAAACTGATATGTGTTATTTGAAAGGAATCCAAAAATATAATAAGATGAAACTAGATCTAACTAATTCAATTTTAGAATAAAAATAAAACACTTTTGATATTATAAATCATAAGCATTGGAATGACAAAAAATAGGGAAGAAAATATCGTAGTCGTAATAGAAATAATTTCTTCATTTTGAAATATGTGGATTTTATTAAGGGTGAAGTGTTATGTAGCTGTGCCTAGTTTTATGAAACCTGTTTTAAATTTGCATATTTGTTTGCATGTAAATTGTTTTTTTTTCTATTGTTTGCATAAATATTATTTGTATATTCTTTTCATTTGTGAAAAAAAAAACAGAATTTGATTTATTTTCTCTTTGTATATGTACACACATATTGTTTGTTTGGGTTTTAAGTCACACCAACACAGTAAAGGCCATATGGCGACGTTCCAGCTTCGCTGGTGGAGGAAGACCTCAGGTGCCCTTCCGTGCATTATTTCAGGTATGAACGTGCACCTGAGTAGAATCACCGACGTTCCGTAAGCTAACTGAATAGCTTCCTCACATGAAAGAATCCAAAGTACATGTCGGGATTCGAACCCACAGGGGTGAAGGGCAAGTGAAGTGTATAATTTTTGTACGTACATATACTTGTATATTGCTTCCATTGGAGAATATCTCCTTCACTTTTCTTGAAAAAAAAAGCAAAATATGAACCCAACTAGTAAGCAAAGCCGATGAGTTATATATTTATTACATGCTTTTCGGTGGTTTATAGAAATATATCAGTAACATAAAACTGGTAATTTCACTGTTTGAAACAGTGAAATTACCACTTTGATAATTTCACTGTTTTGAATTTTAGCCCCTTACGTTGTTTCAGTGAAATACCAGCGTGCACAGTACTGAGTACCAACTTAATCATGTGACGTCGTAAATGACGTCACTTTGTTTTATTATTTGGCGCGCTTTTCATTTAGTATTAGGTTAAATGTATTTTTAAAACGTTCCTTTGCATGTAATAAAAAGAAAATTTGTTTAGTTTAGTGTAAGATTGAAATATATTTCACCTTGTGAACACGAAAAGTTCATATTTCACTCGTGGCTACGCCACTCGTGAAATATACCTTTTGGTGCTCACTCGGTGAAATATATTCCGATCTTACACTGAACTAAACAAATATCCTCTATTTAACACTATAGCGCCAGTATCCGGGAACTAACTGTTTAATATTTCCGAGGTTTTTAGTATTTTTATAACCTAGACGTGCGTCAATTTTGATTTTAAACAAATTTATATGCTGATATGTTTTTGCAAAATAATTATAGATAAAAAACATAACTGCGGAAGAAATATCTGTATCTCATTTTATCATAAGATTCTTATTTTGTTGTATTGTAAATAAGCTGTTTAATCAGGTGATTGGGAAAAACAACAATACTCTTTCATACTTTTCGTACATGTAGTAGTTACATGTAGTTATTGTTGGAAACAGAACGTTTTATGTTAAGATTTAAATTCAAAGATTAAACAGAATTTTTACTTATCGTGATTAAATTTGTACCAGAAAATTGACAAGTCTTTGATGTATTGATATATAATTGATAGTTATCTTGAAACAAGATATACAATACTATGTGATACTTTTCTTCTGTTTCCATTAATTATTATCTGATTTTATTTATGTGTTTTTTTAACTAGAAAACATGACTTTATATAGACGGTAACTAAAGACATATTGATACTCTTCAGTATTATTTTCAATCTCTTTTTTTCGGGGGGGGGGTGGGGGAAGAGAGAGAGGGTTGTTGGTTATATTTTTTATTATTAAATAATCATTATTTGATTATTGCCATCCGATTCGGAACGGGTAAGATATTTGCATTGTATGTTCACCATCTGAAGGATATACATTTTGTATAAAGACCTAAATAAATTAAACTTATGGGACTCAAATCCGTTCAACTTGGAACTCGATTATTTCGATGAACTCGATTATTTCGATACAAGGAAAAATCGCGCTTGAAACATTTTATGTTTTAAGTTAGAGTTGGGTAAAGTATGAATATGCAAACAGTTTACAAATATCATTTTAAGTTCCGGATCGTGACATCGTACCACCATCTCTCCTCATTTTTATTTCTTATATTTTTTATATCTTGATGACTTCACACCAGCACTATCAGTGAACAGACAAAACAGAAATATCTTGATGTTTTGCCATACTAATTCTTGTATATTTTTCTATGACAAAACAATCAGTAAATCCACGTGACCAATGGGAATATTCTATAAATACCGTTTAGAATGTATCGGTAATAAGCTCAATTCTTAACTTTTGACTATTTTTGGTAGTTTTTTTTATTGTATTATAAACATTTTTCAGTATCAATTATTGGTCACTCGCCATTATAATAGCCGCTCGTTTTAAATAAATACATTCAATTTACTAATTCAACTCAATATAACAGCGAAACAATATAGCATAATGTCAGGCTATGGCAAATCGTAATAAATATAGTCACAATAATATGAAAACAGAAACGAATCAGACCCAATTATCAAAGTTTCACAAAACAAGTTTTAACATGGATTTTTTATACCTTTTTGAAATTTTGAAAATAAATTATAATTAATTATGGCGGGAATATGACGGACTTGCAACTAAGTTAAATGCTACACGTGCGCTGTATATGCAACAGTGCTCGAATTCGCCTTTTTATTTGTTATCAATGGGTATGACTAGACACCGGAAAGGGCCTCTTTCCGCGGAAAGGACTCGTCATGACCGGAAAGGGTCGATTTTATTCTCATTAATGGCATTTTTCAAAACATTTCAATCAATATAATTACAATTTATTGAAACAAATACATATCTGATTAAATTGATATCTTTTTTTAAAAAATCGGTATGATTTTGAGAAAAAAATCAATC